CTCAGTTTGTTATGTTTTCTTAGTTCATTGTGTCTTGATTTCTTATGTTGTCTTAGTTTCGTATGTTGTATCAGTATCTTATGTTGTCTAAGTTAACTGTATCGCTTGATTGTTGTCTATCAGCACCAACTTCCTATCACACGGAAAGGAAACAGACAGGAATGAAAAATCAGTTGCAGAAAAAGCATAAAGAATAACAGAAGCCCTGGAATTGATGGATTTCCAATAGATTTCTTTAAGTACTTTCGGAAAGAACTTAAGATTTGGATTTTTAGATTAATCAAAGTTGTTTCCAGAAGGAATAAGAGGTCTCTTACCGTGAAGAGAGGAGTTATCAATTGTATACATAAAGCTAATAAAAATAGGACCTTATTAAAGAACTGGAGAATAATTACATTATTAAATGCTTTGTATAAAATAATTAGTAACCGGTTAAAAATCATCTTAGATTCTTTAATACAAAATAACCAGACTGGATTTATACCGGTTAGAACACTTAGTGAGCATACAAGGTTTTTATATGATCATAGGTTTGAACCTAAGAAAAACGATATCTGTGGTCTGTTGACTTTTAGTGACTTCGAAAAAGCTTTTGACACAGTTTCGTATACAGCCGTCACACGTGAGGCGGAATGGGCTGGAATGTTGTCGGAATGAAAATTTATGTAGAGTCCTGGAAATTCGAACTGAATTCTAAAACTTCTTACTGCATTCCGAATGCATTCCAACTATTCGGGTCAATTCTTGTAACATGCCCGAATGTTTCGAACATGTTCAAAACTTTCGAGGTACATTCGAAGTGGACGAATATCGAACAGCACTTGAGGTGCATTCGAACAGCATTCTAAGTATTCTTACTGCAATCTAACTACATTCTAAATATTCTTACTGCATTCTAAGTTTTCTGCACATATTCGAGGGGAAACAGAAAAGACAAGCCACTTCAAATCCTGTCAGAATGTCTCGAATGTGCCTCGAATGAGTCGGAATGTATCTCGATTGCTGCTGGGCTTCAGGTGGAATATGTTTCAAATGTATCGGAATATTTCGATTGAAGTTGGAATACAGCTTGAATGTACCTCGAATACACCTGGATTACATTCAGAACGTCCCGAATGCTCTTTAAATGAGCCCTGATGTCATCAGAACACGGCCGAAACGCATAAAAACGTGGCCACCTGTCACTGAAACGTCAGATAGCATTTGGGTATCACATTCTTACAAAGCTTGAAAAAATTGTTTGTTTTGACATCCTCTCCCGAATGTGGTTCGAATTTTGAAATAAGTGCGCAGGAGCCTTGAAGATTTTATCAACTCTGTCTTGCTAAAATGTGTTTTCGGGCCACAGATTATCCGCTGGGTTAATCAATAAAACTTCATGTGGTATTCAGAATGGACATCTCTCTGATTTCTTCCGTAATGAACGGGTTTGAAGACAAGGTGATCCAATGTCACCATATGTATTTCTTTTTTTTGCAGCTGAAATCATTGGATGTACGATAAGATAGTATGGTAATATAAAGGGTATTGTATCGAATAATCAAAACTATCAATTAGCACAATATGCTGGTGATACTGAATTATTTTTGTATGTCTCAGATGAAAGTTTGTATGCTGCTATTGATACCATTAATACATTTTACAATATGTCAGGTTTTAGGATAAATATATATGAGACTAAAGCAATCTGGATTAGCTCAAAAGCAGGTAGCAGAGATAAAATTTGTCAAGATTTGAATATGGAATATCATTTCAAAAAACCCAAGTTACTTTGTTCGACATTGGGCTGAAATGGAACTTTGACAATTAAGTACCTCTGTAATGAACATGATTTTATGCCTTTTGAATATCTGAGGCTCAAATTTGATATAAAAGGAACATAGGAGGTACATATATGAATCTTGTATATTTTACCTGAATCATGGAAAACGACTATAAAACAATGCATACAGTATATACATACCAATGGTCTGAATATAAACCTTCTTCATAAATATTGAAAAACGTTTGAAAAAAGGTTCAAAACTATTTTATGATAAACTCTTATGTGACAATATTGAAGTTCATATTTGCCAAAATTGGGAAGACTTATTTTATGATACTGATTTTGATTGGCATATGATTTGCATAAAGAATTTGAAAGATGAACCATTTTAGATTTTCAGTTTAACTTTTTGCAAACAATTATTTATACAATAAGAGCTTTTGAAAATGAAACTTGTTGACAATGTAGTATGTAGCTTTTGTAATGTTGATAGTGAAATTTTATGCTATGTATAGTGAGAACGTAATGTAACCCAAACCTTCTAAAAGGAACTTGAAACAAATTTTGAATAATCCAAAACATACAGAAATTTGTAATAACACAAACCTGGGAAAGGTTAGGCATGTTAGGTAATACGCCATTACTAAATCACATCATGGTTTCTGCTAAAACATGTATTTATACTTGCATCTTGAAGAAAACAATTACAAAAATCTTAACAATTCTGAAAAGACATTTACACGGTTGAAAAATTCATATCCAGAAGGAACAATAATTTCGATCAATTTTAAAACATCTGGTTTCCTTTGCTCCCAATATTAAATTTTTGATTTAATCTTTCATTGAAGTTGAATAACTTTACTGGATATTAATTTCTTTACCCTATCAGTTGATATACCATTTCTCCTGTACCCACTGAACTTTGATTATGTATTTGTACATTTATTGCTTTTTATACATGTATTCAACTATTGGAACGAATAAAAAGAATAACTCCCTTGGCTTCTATCAAATACCTGTCTTCTGTCAGGTTTAATATATACTGCTACTGGCTCATCTTGTTAGGTACATTGCTAAAAGGCTGTGTATGTATGTCCATATCAAATCTGCATCATTCACTTGAAGAATAAGTGTGAATTATATCCGAGACATCGTGTTTAACCAACAGAGAAGTTGATATCCCCCTCATGTCAATTTCTTAAGTGCCTTTCAAAGCACCCCTACCCTATTTATGTTTAAAGAGAAGTGTAATCTGACGACTGTGCTTCGAACACATATCACGTTAGTTCAGAAATTTTATACTTTGAAGCAAGTTACGGTTCGATGCATTTCAATGAAACATGTTCTATTGTGGCGGTGATCAACTGCGCAATTGCATGATACTTGTATATGTCAACAAAGGTGTTCACTGACTCGTACACGAGAACTTGGCTTTCTTTCAAATAGAAGCATTCTGTGTCACCCTGACATAACCACATACTTACATTATTAAACCCCTTGACAACAGAGACCGAGTTGATTAATTGTAGCCTTATAATATATTTGAATGTTAAATTGCCGGAAACAAGCAGTGTATGTATCTATTACAGCATGTGTTGTTACGCAAACAAACAGGTCATTGCGATTAACTCACAAAATTGTTTTAGTTGCTGTACTGTATAATGTTATTGCATTACTTTCCTGATGTCTGTTTTTATTTAACGTTTGTGAATTTAGAAGTAATCCTGCTATCATGACGATGCATTTTAATAAACAATAAAGGTAACCGAGTAGTGGTGTCATGGTGTTATGTTCGAGGTTCAACAGTTTAACAGTTTAAGATCTGTATGTCAAGTAAGGTGTTTTACTGAATCGTACATGAAAGGTATGCCTTCATTCAAATAGTATTTTGTGTCAGCCTATGATTCCCACATACATTTCTTGTGGTTATCGTCTTGTCTCGTCACGCCAATGACGTAGGCAAGATGGATAGTTGTGACCAAGCACAATAACTGAACATAAAAAAAACAACAGTTTCCAGCTAAAAGTGGCGTCTTTATCCTGAACGAATATTTTCACCAAACGAAGCAGAGTGTACGCCGATAAGTACATAGTTCTTGGGGTACTAGATGGTCTTATTTTGTTTCTTAAGATATTCAGGAGCATAATTATACATGTATAACGTATGAACTATGTCCGCCTTTCTTTACCCAATATAGTCCGGAGATTCATGATAATATTATGAGGATCAATGGCTGCCTTCTATGATATATGGAACCTATTTTGAAGACATATGAAAATCTGATATTTTCCCTCACCCGTGGTTGGTGACCGGCTTGTGTGTGTTGTGTCTGAACAAAATATGTATCGTACTATTACACAACTACCATGAGTATCCTGTCAGTAGTGATCGTTGTTGCTGGAATGTCAGCTTGAAGGGGAAGGTCGGTGTTTCGATCGTTGATGGCGTCACACAAAAAGACTATGAAAGATGGTACTTATTATTCTTTCTGCCTGGCTCGGAGTCTGCTGCTCACTTAAAGGCACAATTTCACACATTTACGACATTATTTTGTCCTATGTTATATAAAATTGGGTCATATGCACTCACTTTAGCTTCCTATTGATGCAATAAAAGATTTCTTATCCTTTACAACTTGCCTGAAATCGATAATTGAAACTTTGAGGCGAACAGCTTCCAAACAGAGAACACTTGCCATATATGGAAGGTAAACAACTGCTCCGTACATCCAAAACTGCCGCACGCGGTGTTGACGGTGGTTGCCCAACTGGTTTCAATCACAAGTTATTCGTAGAGATATTCGTAAAGAGCGCCCCAAGAGACATAACTCTATGGGGTTTGCTTGAAGTAATGTTCGGCCGGTAGAAGACGCGAAAGTCGATTTAATGCAACGTTGCATTAATTCATTCGAACTTTTTAATTTAATATTATAATCTAAATACGTTTTATATTTTTATTACATTATATCGTAGCTTCCCTGAGGGCTGATAGTATGGAGAGAAATATATAATTTATTTTTAGAGAAGTGTGGTATGAAATAGTGCCTTTAAATACTGCTTTTCCTCAGCGATGGCCTTGATAAGTGACACAGCTTTAACGTTAGTGACGCGTCGTTGCATTCCACAAACACCAGCGTTTTTATCTTCAGTGCATACAGTGTTGAATGCTGGCGTTGACAACAGGAGGAGGTAAGGCAAATGAGTTGCTCGATGTGTGTGCTGCTAACTTCAGCACAGAACAACAAATAGTTCATGGGAACACACACTAAAAACAATAATGATGATTAAATCGATCACTAGATATGTCCATGCTTGATATGATCTAGAAGAACTCGCTGTCGTGAATCATCCATGTGTATGTTGAGACGTGCTCAAGACATAAACACAAGATTGCCTGTTGGCTGTAGGGATATGTCTTTGTGTGTAACAGATTTGTATCCCAATAATTTCAACATCGAGGTGGTGTCATAGTGCTTGGGGTTTGTTATGACCCGTTCAGTTGTTTTCAGAAAATGCTGGACCTTGTGCTGAAACGTCCTATAACGTCTTTTGTTGCACTTTACCTCCTTCATCTTACATCGGGAACAGGTAGGATGCTGCTCTCTCTGATGGTCACAAAGGCGAATGTATAACAGATATTATACGGATCATTTGGTTGTTGTTTCTCAGCAATACTCCAGCTATATAGCGACGGTCTGTAAGTAATCGAATCTGGATCAGACCAACAAAAATGATTTTAAACAGCACTTATGATGTTTACAACTGCATTTTTCGAATGTGACATAAATACAAATGTGCATCGAGCCCCTTCATTTTAATCAATTAAGAAAATGAACCAATATGTTGATACTCACTTTGCATTACATTAGAGATGCACTAAGAATGTTTTCGTTTTCATGGGGGTGTGTAGTCTGTGTCATGCAGCTTGGGTTATCCGGGGTAATAATAATCAGAATGTGTGTTAGCGCTTTGTGCGTGTGTCTTTACATAGAAAATATATAAATATAATAATATATAAATTCATAATTATTATTATTATTGTTTTCAGTGGTTTTCGTCTTGTTCCTGGACCCAACATGGGGATTCTACAGATTCTGCACGGTAATACATGGGGAACATTATGTACGTCATACTTTGGCTATGAAGAACGCAATGTTGTGTGCAGACAACTCGGATTCAATACGTAAGTGCTAGATGTGATGAATGAACTGTTGAATGTTTTCATCCTTTTTATTGGCAGATTACGGTGAGAGACCCCACCCCGTCAGACTTTTAAATGCCCGTGACGTAAATAACCGCAATTACTTAAGGTGAAGTGTTCAGAGAGATATGATTGAGTGAGTGTATTTAGTTTTACGCCGCACTCAGCAATATTCCAGCTATATGGCGTCGGTCGGTGAATAATCGTGTCTGGACCAAACAATCCAGTCATCACCAGCATAAGCATCCTACTACACAGTTGGGATACGATGACGTGTCAACCTGGCCAGCGGGTCTGACCACCCGATCCCTTTAGCGCCTTTTTCGACAAGCACAGGTTACTGATGATCAGATGATCAGTGCCAACCCGGATCTCATAGAGATGTATAAGATAAGAGTGGGTGGTTTGAATATTGTGCACAGCTGTCGAGTGTCGGAATGTATACTTTGGTTGGTAATTTTGTCAAATGCACAGTGACCAATCATGGTTTGGTTAAGGGACAAACGATGATGGGTTACAACAATTGTATTGAACAGACTTCGATCCTATTTGTTGTAGATGACGCCCACATGTGTCGTTAACACTTTTGTGTACTTATAGAAGCGTGTTGACTTTTCAGCACCAACAATAGGCAAGTGGATTTCGGTTCACTACCTGGAAGTGCTAAATACCTGGGACGATTCAACTGCAATGGAAAGGAAAAGAATTTCGACAGCTGTCCAGATTTTAACTTGACCCGTTGTAATTACCAGAGCACCCTGGGATTGGTATGCCTCAGTGGTATGTATCGATCGTTTGTATCAGACAGCCATCCTTGTCATTATCCCCGGGGCAAACGACCCATCAATAGTGCTAAACGATGATGTAATGGTGACCCTGATACCGACATTGACATCTGTGACAGACACGTTTGTGATTCCTGTGGCCGAATGAATTTAAATCACATAAGATTCACAGTATAATTAGTTAGAATATGTGTTTGACCATAAAATTCATGATAATGGCCCAGATTTATTTGCCCTGATCTTGTCTGGTCCTCTCTCTTAGTCTATATCAATAGTATATTCTGCCCACAACATATTGCTACACTTACAAGGAGTATGTAAATATTTGTAATTCATCGTTTTGTGACGTGCGCTTGTACACTGATAATGACTGAAAAGAAGTACTGTGAAAGGACTTTCTCCATTTCCGGTGTTACTGTCGTTATATATGTTTTGTAATGTTTACGATCATGTTTAAAGTCGTTCAAGATGTGTTAGATTGTAATTCTGTGATTACATTACCCTGTTCTTTTACGGCATTGCAGATCTGAGAAATCATAAAAATGAAATCATATTATAAAATGTACATCAGTATATAAGCAAATCACAACGATCACAAGGAGTTTTCTTTCTCTGTACCTTTTGTGTTATAATATTCCTGTTAATCTTTCTCTGTTTCTGTTCATAATGATATAAAATTTGTTATTGTAAGTACAAAATGTATTCTTGGAGAGGGGTTTTATAACTTGTAAGAACTTGTCCCCGATCCTGTACACTCTATGAATAAAACATATTTAAACTAAATAAACATTATTTCTTTATCTAGATTTGTGATTTGTAGCTGTCATTTGATTCACTACCAAGAATCAAGCATTTTCTATGTTCATTGTAATGTGGTTGTTAATCATTAAAGGAAAAGAAACCTTCGACGTGATATCGATCGTTTGCATATATTGGTGTTTTGCGTGACATCTCATTTACGTATCACAGACACAGAGAGCTTGGTAACTCTTGGCATCCAGAAGACCAGAGACATCAATGAGGGAAGTCAGTTGTATTGTTCAGTGTACTCAAGACAGTCACCCTACGTGTATGCATGGACACGAAACGGAAACATTCAGCATAATCAGACATCTAGTGCGGTCAGAATGCAGCGCACCGACTCTGGAAACTGGACCTGCACTGTCTACTCAAGAACTGGAAACAAACGCCTTGGATCAGACTCAGTTATGGTGACAGTTTTGTGTAAGTATGGCATACAAACGCAAGGACACACAGTCGGCATAAAATGAAGCACCCAAACTGACAGTATATTTTTGTTTGCTGCCTGTGTAAGTCCGTAATTGTCAATTTTAAAACTAAATGACGGTCAGTAAATAGTAAAGGTCAGAGAAACGTGTGATTGACCATGTGACCATCTTATATTCGATGACATGCATTAACCTAGTCAACGAGCCTGACCACCAGATAATATTGGTTGCCTCTTACGGCAAGCATTGGTTGCTGAAGATCAGTCTTAACCAAAATCTTCGCTTATATAAAAATTCTATATAATAACCGAGAGACATCAAAAGGAATTGGTATTCCAATGGTGCCAGATACATACACTTTGTCGTTTTACATAGCAACAGGAAGAAACAGATTGTATCAAGCTTTCTTTTAGAATCCTATTTGATGTTGTTTTAGGAGCCTCCTTGATTTGACAAACCTTGATGATCAAAATACATGACCTGTTTCATTATGTGACAAGTAATTCCACAATACTTCAGACCACCCATACAGCTTGACCATGAGGACCATTTACGCCCAACGAGGAGACACAGTGAATCTCAGCAGGACCGACATCAGCCTTCCAACACCACACGTCTTCAGATGGCGCCATACAGGTCTGGACTCTGAGTTCTCCGAATCGACCAAACCACCAGTCATACCAAATATACAGCTGCATCACTCAGGGGACTATATCCTGGATGTCACAAATACGTTTCCCTCAGGGCGTTCAGACTCTGGCATGGATCTAATCAAACTGTATGTGTCATGTAAGTCATACTATTTTATAAGCAGCTTCAATAATGGATTCTTTTTATATTCCTTAGTGTGAAAAATGCAAGGATTAATGCTGTTTGGGTCTTGGTAAGTATTCATGTTACAACGTATTAAAGCTGGTTTTGTTATTATATCCAAACACATGTTTAATGTGTATTTTCATAGAATTAATCACAGACGAAATACTGATTATAGTCTCTCCAGTAACTAAGAAAGTGGCGAAAATTATATTTGTGCTTTTCAAACACATGTAACCCTTGATAATCCAGAAGATGCTTTTCCCAAGAATTGCTACAATCCATGCATTTCTGAATTAATATATTCTTCTCTTCATAAAAATAATTTATGACAGGAGTTGTGATGAATGTGTATTGGTAACTAAGGAGGTTTCATTAAATGTAGTTAGCATTTCTGTACTGGACTACTTAACAGAAGTGATTCGAACACACATTAGCACCGAGGGAGATGCATTTGAACATCAATTGACAAATTACTCCAAAATTAAAATTCATCTTGTACACTTTCAGACGCCCCCTCCATCAAATGCGAAAGGGAGGTATCAGTGGTGGAAGGTAAGTCTCTCGACTTAGAGTGTGACGTCGACGCCTACCCAGATCCACACACCTTGACATGGTCGCACAGTACAGGGTACAAGAAAGAGGTGTCCAGCATGACAGAGAAATACCATATTCCTAAGGTCTCTCACTCTGATGGCGGCCTCTACACGTGTGAGGCCCAGAACAACATCACCGACCGCGATGGGAACGTTGACATTGGCGTTGGAACGTGTACCATACGGGTCACTGTCCACGACGTCGAAGGTGAGTGAGTGAGTGAGTGAGTGAGAGAGTTCAGATTTCCGCTCTACTCACATTCCATCTATATGGCGGCGGTCTGTAAATAATCGAGTCTGGATCAGGCTATCCAGTGATAAACAGCATGAGCATCGATCTACGCAAGTGGGGCACGGTGACATGTTCCCACCGATTCCGTTAGTCTCTAGAAGCGTGCATTACTGAAGACCAATTATAACCCGGATCTTCATGGGTTTCCTTCATGACGGCGATTTCTAGGAAACCGCTGAATGTAACGCACAAACATATCACTGAATATCGACGTATTTATAACAATGTAGTTGAGATAGTTTATCATTGGTGATTGACAGTGATGTCTTGCTGCATAAAATATCCAAACATTGCGCAGGAAAATGTTATGTACAGATCGTTTAACTTTCATTTATGATTCTTTAAGTCATTGCTTTCTTAATACATTCCTCTTTTTCAGCTACAACATTACCAGTTGTTGATGCCAATTCACATGACAAGGGAGGCAACTCTATGACGACTGTTGTGTATGTTGTTGGGACGATCCTAGTCCTGAGTGCTCTCGGCCTTGTCATTGTTCTCGTGGTGTTGACACTGAAGCGTCTCCCGGTGAAAGGTACTTGTCGGCTTGCAACATACTAATCCATCACATTCTAGAAACAGTAGAATTAGATATGACTTTAAAAGATTCATTTCACAAGAATATGTGTTGAAGTTCATAACTGAAGTGTACGACTCGTTTATCGGATGTGTTTTTGAAGCAGTTCAACATTTGTCACTTTCTGTTTTTACAGGGAAGGGAAAAGAAGACTTGTAAGTTACTTCATTTTCGTGATCACCCTGTATATTTAAAATGCTAACTTTCTTTTACTTTTTGTCATGTCAACGAGCAATTGACAATTGAGATCCTACTGACATTGTAATGATATTCTCATGCAATACAACACCACCTTCAATGAAGAAAAATGTCCGTTTGTGGGGGTTCTGGGGAGATCTGTGAGAACCATTATTGTATGTATTAATGCGAACAATGGCTGAAGAATATTATCCGTATTCCTGGAAAGATTGCATTTGCTTCTCCTTTTTTTCATTTTTTTTGCAAATTTAGGAAGACGCCTCCTCCCAGCCCTGAAATTCTTCAAGAAGGTAAACCATAAGAGATTATTGTGCATCGTGGTAGCATACAGACTTTTTCGCTTTTTAAACATGTCAAATAGACAAAGTCATTGGTGGGAACGATGAAGCAGATGACTGAAATCTTGTCTGCGTGTACATGCCTGAAATTAGATGTCAAAATAAATCAGAATTGAAGTGAGAGTATATATTTTATGTCCGCTTATACAAATATGTCTTTAAGTTTCAAATGCATTCCACATGAATGGACATTTTCACGTGAGGCTTATAGTTTAAATGCGGGCGATTCATGCCTTCTTTATTTACACTTAAAACCTAAATTTTAAGTACTAAAGTACATGTACCTGTAACTGTGTTTTAGAGCATGCCTATGAAGGACTGACTATTCGCTGAGGTGTGACGGAATGCCCCGGGCAGCATTGCAAGGTAAGGGTTCTGAGACAAATATTAAAATATTGTTAGAACTGACATATTGTACGTAGATCACGACTTGCCAATCAGATTTTACATAATGCCGTCGTACAATCAGGATTGTTTACAATATATTTGTTTCATGCATATGCTTTTATTTTCTGTTACAGATTCTTCACAAGCCCTCCGCTACCTTCCTGTACAGTTTAATTGTGTCAGCATTCACGTTTATAGGAAACGAAAACAAATGAATTATCATGTTAGCTTGCTATGTTTTGACACATTGACAATCTTTAAAATGTCAGAGTAACCAGAAACGTCACAAAACATTCATACCTCCTTGATACATGTATATACACTGAAACACCATTGTGTCTAATATCAACATGTGGAACAAACGGTTGTCTCGAACTATAAGTTTGGTCCATACGCATTCCTTTCATTATTTTCGGTTGTGTCGAACACGGGAAGTTCGATTTATTTACTCAGCCTTCGCCTGTGACACAATGGTATTTGACCTCATATTTTTGCTACTCGCTTTAGCACATAACACTGTGTGTCTTCAGACAATGCGAATTCCTCATGTATGTAATTGGATGCATCATGCTTTTATAGTGTGTATTTCATTATTTTCAAGTATTTCTCTGAGTGTATTTGGTCATTACTGTAGCCTCATTGCCGTAATCTCATTATACTGATAGAGAACATATTCGACTAAATGATACATATGTACTATGTTAAATTTGAAAAATCAGTAACTTTGATTGATTGTCTCACCCACGTGGAATATCATTTAAACTACATTTGTTGGTGTGTTTTGAGGGTTTTTTGGTGTTTTTTGCTTTTTGTTGTTGTTTTTTTATTATTATTTTTTTCATTTATTTTTTTACCACCATTTTGATCAGACTTCACAAGATAGAATAACTAGGAACGTCACCTACTTGTGTACCATATTTATGTTTGTGTACATTTTAAATCTTTACTGTTTGCACCACCATACAAGGGTCTTCATAATAAATGATTCTTGTGTATAATTGCATGCATTGACAATGTTTTACTACACGTGTATTATATACAATATACGTTTCGTTGTTAATATTTGCTTATTTCTGTAGCCTCATCATATGGATAATGGAAATATATTCGTAAAATTGATTGATTGATTTATTCTTGTTTAATAATTAACGCTGCACTCAGCAATATTGCAGCTATATGGTCTGCAAATAATCGAGTCTAGACCAAACAATCCTGTGATCACCAGCATGAGCATCGTACTACGCAATTAGGATACGATGACATGTGTCAACCAAGTCAGCGAGCCTGACCACCCGATCCTGTTAGTGGCCTCCTACGACAAGCATTGGTTACTGAAGACCATTTCTAAGCTGATCTTCACGGGTCTATTTTCGTAACAAGTAGGGATACCAACATAGTGTTGACACATTTCATTTGAAAATTAACGAATAATACTTATTGCCTAACCCACGATGGACATAATTCCGGATATAAAGTTCCCTTCTTATCTTGTAATCTTGTAAGCTTGATCGCAACAAACTGCAAAGCATCAAATATGACATATTTATCCAAAATGTTAGAGAAAGCAGTTAAACCAAGATTCCTGGATCACCTTCAGTCTCGGGGCCTGATTGATATGTATCAGTCGGCTTACAGAAGTGGACTCAGTACAGAGACAGCTCTCAATAAAGTATTAAACAATTTGAGGACCAGTGTGGATGACGGAAATGTTGCGCTTTTTCTCCTGTTAGATTTATCAGCGGTATTTGATACTTTGCTAATAGACCAACTTCATACTGAATATGGTTTAGAAGGCATTGTTTTGGACTGTCTCCGCTCGTACCGGAGAGACAGATACCAGAGACAGAGAATTAGCTTTAATGCTACGTCATATGACAAAACTCTTTTGACTTGTGGTGTACCCAAGATTCGGTACTGGGCCCAGTACTATTTACGTTTACAGCAAGCCTGTCTCTCAAGTCATTAGTAACTGTGCCATCAATGATCATTTTTATGCTGATGACACGCAATTGTACAATAGTTTTGCTCTTGATGACCAGTCACAGACGTCAGAACTCAGTGCTATGGAAGACTTTACATCCAAAGTTAGCGCCTGGATGAACGCCAACATGCTAAAGTCGAACAGCGATATGACAGAGGCCTTGCTTATGAGACCTGACAAAAGGCTGCAATAGATCAAAACAACTCGTATCACAGTCGACAGTGATGATATCAACTTTTGACAATTGCTGGAAACTTGAATGTGCAGCTAGATTCGTCACTCAGCATGGACACGCACATCAATGACCTCGTCAATAACTGTTACTTTTACCCCGAAACATAGGTAACATATGCCACCTTCTCACACAACAAACAGCTGCAGCACCTGCACGTTCAATGATCCTCGCCAGGATTGACTATTGTAATAGTCAGCTTGTAGGGTCTCCAGCGCAACAAATGAGAAGGCTGCAAAACATCCAGAACTCAGCGGCTAGAATTGTCACTCTGTCAAAAATGTCATGTCACATCACTCTAGTACTCCTCATGCTGCCGGTCAAAGAACGGACACATCATACAATCCTCGCCCACATATATCAGTGTATCAATGCTACAGCTTTTGGTTATCTGTGTGGAAGACTATGTTGTTACAAGAACTCTCCGTTCCAGTGATCAAATACTACTAAAGGCCCCCAACATCAGGCTAAAGACATTTGTCGGAAGATCCTTCGCATATAATGCTGCCTTTGAATGGAATGCTCTCCCATTTGATCTGTAATCAACTCCAACTCGCACTTGTTTCAAAAAAAGCATCTTAAGAACTACGTGTTCAATAGAAATGGATTGTAAACATGTGATATCTATGAACTTTGTTAAGCGCTTTGAGCAAACTTTGGTGTGGAGTTTGGCTCAAAATAAGGATCCATATTTGTACATTATTATATATTTTAATACACATCAAAGTAAGCAGAAGCCTTACAACTTGCATACCCTGCTGACGGTTATATACATTTCTAGGTGACAGCATCACGAATCATACTTAAAATACAATGTCAATTTCTTACGAGTATTACTAAAATACAACGTGATCATATATTTCATGTTTTTTATTACTCAGTTACTATCTAGGAGGTGTTTTCGTACCAGTATTGATAGCACAGATGTGTGATAAATCAAGTTTGAAAAACCAATAAATAGAGATTTACAAATGTATGTACACACAGATGAAGCAGTGTGTAATGTGGCGCATTCGGTGAATTTAGAAGAGACATTCCTATTACCCTTATGTTTCATGATTGAGAGTTGTACAAACAGTTTTAATCGAAACATCTCATTGTCTCGAACATGTACGCATGTTGTGTCTACATAGTTTCGTTACAACGATAAACAGGCATATGTATTGATAAATCCCTCATTGATTTAAACGTGGTTGATGAAAGCGTATCTGAACTGTAATTATAGATATCTCTCAGTAATAGTGTGGCCCCATCCTTCAAATCAAACAAATTTCATAGAACATAAATGCCGCGTCCATGTGGGTACTCAGTGAATAGTGTTTTAAAAGTAATAACAATGTGTTCAATATCTTTTGTCTGCTGGTTTCTGTAACATGTCGAACACAACTTCAAGAGTTATTCTGGCACCAAAAAATAATCATTTTTCACCTAAGGGGAATTGAAGCCTGTCATTCACTTGACTTTTCTCCAAAGGGGAATTGAAGCCTGCCATTCACTTTTATGGTATACGTCAATACACTACTTTTATAAGTTTGTAATTAATTTCTTGAAATTGTGTTCAGTTACAGTAATATAAACTAGAAATGATATGTAGTATATTATGTCAGTATGGATGACGTATATGTCTGGTGAGGACTCATTACACACCAACACCAGCAATCACATAGTCGTGGACTATTCAGTACCAATGTTAGTGATAAGCACTTACATAATATCCTCTGTACCGGACAATCCATGGACTGTTAATACTAATATGAAAAACGACTTTAAACTTACCCGGACTGTTGCTATAGAAACATATTTGTAGCTTAGTTTGTGTGTGAATAGAAATTATTGCAGTATGACGCTGTTTCTGTCACTGTTGAGTAAGGAAAGCTATGCATCATCCCGCTGTGACCCTTTTATTCATCTCAGCTAACAACCAATATTGCTAGTTTCAGTGGTTGACAATGTGTCACCGCGCCAACTTCCGTCCAGGGCGACTGGACGGAAAATGATCCAGAAAAAACACATCCTCATAACAGCATCATGACATCTCTTGGATACTTTCCATTGGTAATTTTGATTGTTTATGACAGTGCACACATTATCATTATTATTATACAAACTTCAAAAATACAACAACAAAAAAGAAATAGAATACGCATACGCCAAAAATAGAGAAATGTATTATACGCATCTAAGTGTGCATGAGTCGACTAAATTTTAACACAGATGAATTAAATTCGAAAAACGGATGAAAATATGTATTGTTGTCATTGTCAGCATTAATTCAGTTTACTCACTGCACATGTCTGGACACAAGGGGCGTTCAGGTTAGTACCTGGTGACACCAACCCTTGCAGCCCTCACTGCTCGACACCGCATTGGAAGTCGTCAGAGTTTTGCTTTGGGAATTCTTCGCCATTGCTCATGCAACGTTAGGACGATGATGACGTTTACGGACGCGTCGATCATGTTCGTCCCATAGAAGAGAAATCGGGTTCAGATCAAGAACAATTTCGAAGGCCATGGAAGGCTATTGACATTTGCATTGGCGAGATAGGCACCTGTTACATGAACTTGTCGTGTTGAAATAGATCCCCCTGACGGTTAAAAAGTGGGAGGAGGTGAGATCGCAGGATTTGGTCGATGTAGCGATTTGCTGTAAGTCTTGAACCACCACTAGACATGGTTCCCCACATCATAACGCTTACTCCACCAGATCTGTCCACCTGTCGAACGCAGTTCCACGCAAAGCATTCGTGCTGACGTTGATAGGCAGGTTGTCTCCCAACCCGTCGTTGCAGGGGGAAACGCGCGTCATTGCTTAACCAAACGCGTTCCATTCGTTCCCCTGGCTCCATCCCTATACCCTGTTGCAACATTGGATACG